AGCGAATGAAAAATTCTGAGAATTTTTCTAAACGGAATTATTACAATAGATTTTTCATTGTTTTTGGTATGTTGTTTTAAATTATTAAAGTACCTGTTTTAAATTTAATTTTCAAGACAATTAAATTTTTAAAAAACGTAAAATCTTTCTAAAAATATACAAATTTTATCTAACTATATAATATACTGCATATCAAATATATTATATATACAGTGTTGGGCAAAAATTGTCGAATAACGGTAATCTGGCAAATGAGCACGTGACGCTTTGCGGCACGTGTAGCCAATCATTTGTCAAATTACCGTATTGGTGTTATCCCGCATGATAGGTAGGGAGTCGCTCGCTGAGTTTTAATTTTGGAATAAACATAAAACACAAGAAAAAAATAAAAAGAAATTTTTTCACGATCATATGAGTTTGCCGGATAATGTATACTTATTGGCATCTAAATAAGTATATTATGTTTATAGATATATGTCGGTAGTATATATGTCAGTAATAGACTGCGTATTCTTATTTACAACGAAAGATCCAAAAAAATCCAGTTATGTATTAGATTTTGATAAACGGTTGAATTTAAAGACAATCATATTCCATAAATAGAATCGTACTCTAGCTATTAAGATAACGTAAACAATAGGCTTTTTCTGTTACAGTCAGACCTCTCTAAATGCATAGTCTCGGGCGGCCAAAAAATCTTGCATTTAGAGAAGTATTGCATTTAGGGAGGTAAAAATCTATAAGCGTCATATGAGTTGGGGCCAAACAAAGCCATGCATTTAGAGAGGCTATGCATTTAGGGAATATGCGTTTAGGGAGGTCTGACTGTATTTAACTGTTTTGTTTAGACTAAGTCAATTTTAGCTATCGATAAGTAAATATACCCCTTGCAAGATTTATTGTGAATGTTGTCTACATGACAAATTTTTTCATAACTTTATCAATTAAAATACAAATACATTTTAATCTTATATCCAGTAAGGAAGTTCCGCATGTAATAGTAATTATTTATACAACATTTCATTACTTATAATATTAAAAAATATATTTCTATAGATTTATATGTTTCAGTTATATAACAAAATGAAATGCAAAATTTAGTGACATTTTTAAATCAATAAAGTTTCCAATTTTGACAATCGGCTTAAACAGACTCGGATCTAGAACAACAAACTCGATCGATTAGGTTTAGAACAATAATATATATTTTTTTGTATGTAAACAAAAGCAAGTTAGTGTGATTAAAAAAAAAAAAAAAAACAAAGTTTAACGTTTAGACTGAATTTCACGCATCATCTGATCATTCATGGACAAACGCCATTTAAATTACCTATTGGACGCATAGAATCCTTTCCCTGATTTGGCAGAAAAATTACATCAACTTTCAAAATCTCTGATCACACAATAAAATCAAGAAACAAAATGATAAAATTTATCATTAGAATTAGTAAAAAATTTATTCAAAGCGGTATAATACTGGATCTAGCATTTTGGTAATCATTTTTGATTTCTTGCAAGAAAATGTTAACCTCATCATTCTGTTCAACCGAAAAACTATTGGCTTCACTCTGTTCAACTGAACCATCAACCCATCCGAAAAATCATCACTCTTTAATTCAACAATAAAAAAAAAGAAAATTATGCATACTTCGAAGTTACTTTCGATATCAGATGATTCTGATTCTTGTAAATTATCTTGCGAAATAGAACTAGGCCATAACAAAACATAAATGAATTGCTTTTTTGCGACTTGACCTAACAAATAATAATAATAATAATAAATAAATAAAAAGCAGAATATTATTAAAAAAAAAAAAATCCAAATGTAGAAAAAAAATTTTCGTTCGTTAATTCCATGCACTAACGCCCATTTTTTGTCATTACGAAGTTCATCCATACCATTTTTGAAATGTCGTAACGTTGAGCGAGGAGAAAGAGTATGAAAAAATCCAATAAACTATATAGTATGGAATAATTATACGTAGTAATAAAAGGGTATACATAATTATATATGTGATATTAATTAATTAGCGTTAGTAATATCTTACGTACTTAAGTATATACTACGTATTTTGATTGATTACAGTTATTTGATCACCGAGGCTTAGGCTAACTGCGCCGCCAAACTCAATAGATTAGTAGCGCAACCAAAATTCATCAGATCGGCCCGAATTTAGTCGGAATAGGCCGGATCTTGGCCGGCATTAATCAATAATACTGGCTAACCATACTAGTACTACATTATAGCATACATAGGCTGCCAGTTTATTAGTAAAAATTTGTGAGAATTTAGAAAAAATTTATCAATTCCGGCCTATTCAGACCCTAAATTCGGGCCGATCTGCTGAATTTTGGTTGCGCTACTAATCTATTCTTCAAGACAATGCGCACTGACCCTCGAATAAAATTTGTATTGAATATCAAATTTGCAGATCGCAGCTCGCACATTCGATCACCTGATTATTGTCTGATTATGCAATTATGCGAAGTTGATTTTAAATTTTTATTAGAATTTACTTTACAACAGGGCAAAAAATGCCTACTTTTTTTGTCGGCCATTCAAAAAGTATCATTTTTTATTCACAATACATTGATAAAAAAAAATTAGCATAGTCAATTATTGTATCAATTAAACACATAAACTTCCAAATCATCAAAAAGACACTTTAAAAATGGGTATCAGAGTAAATGGCCAGTAAAATAAGTGGTATTTTTTGGCCTACTTTACACTCGCGTAATCAAACAACAATCAAGCGATTGTACTGTACTGTACTGTACACGATCTGCAATATTTGATAAAAGATACATCATTTTCAAAATCTATTGTACAGCACTGTATGTATGATCATATGCACCGAGACTATTAAAAAAATCAATCGAACCTTTATGTAACATGTTAATGTAAAATACCAATATATTGAATCAGGTATATATTATATAACTTATATAATAAAATTACCTCTAACACTCTGCGTATATATAATATTTAAGTTACTGCGTAATTCGATTTTGCTAAATTTAGCATAGAACAAATTTGTTTATTTTTGAAACAAAAAAATTTTCTCACCATAACCAAGAGGTAATTGGTGATTTCTGTCATTCTAAACCTCATTATACGAATATTAGCATAAAATTTATATTATTATACAATTAACAAGTTTATTGATTACTGGTTGGATCACAATCGCTTGACAAATATCAAAGCTAGTTGTTACTTTTTACATTTAAAGTAATCCCGAAGTTTTAATTAATTCTCATGCTTCGCCAAATATATATATATTTTAAATATATACTGAATATCGCTCTGTTCATATTGACACTATCCAGCTATGAAGAGATATCCAAATGTTAGTTTAACAAAGAATATCTATTTACAGGCATATGTTGATGATGTATAGATAAGCCAATCTGAAAAGAAGCCTACTTTTATTTAATTGTAGCGCCAGAGTTTTTTACCCCAAAATACGAGAAAAAACTTTGCGCTCTTATATTATAATACCGGAGTTTTTACTCCACTAAATATAAATTAGTTTTAAATACTGTACACGTATAAATTAGCTTTGGATTAACATTATGGCTTATTTGCAAAATTAAGCATTTGCCACCAAATTAAATTTTAGTTACCAAATTATAATTTATATTAATAAATTAATGTTAAAATTTTGTACCTCTGATCTGTACCAATAACGCGTCTAACCCATCTTCCACATCTACCCACTCCCGACGCATCTCATTAGACAGACATTTATTAAAAATGACGCTTTATAACTTGGTGATGTTGATTATTTCAGTCAAAATCTATATTTACATATTAGTTGTCAAATTTTCAAAATTTGGGGCAGTTTACAAATGCGTCGTAGATAACAATGTGGTTTATTATTTTTTTTTTAGAATGCATGTTTTGTGCCTGAATTAGATAAGGTAAAAACCGGTTGCGAATCAAGGAAAGCGATTTTTTATCATTGTTAATGGATAAACCGCCAATTTCCATTTTTGAAAAGTTATTAAAATTAATTAAAGAACGAAAGCCAATAACAAAAGAAAAATACAATTGTGTAACCGGGACTTAGAATCCAAAGCCGGAATATTGAATTTTATTATATTACATGGTAAAGAACGGAAAATTTTCTGACTGTTGAAAAATTGGGCCGAAAATTGTCGTATTAAATGGAAATTTCTTACAATAGAATCTACACGATTTGCAGAAGCCCACTGAGTATGATGGCATAATATACTATAAACAGGGTTGGCCAAATTACTGGTCGACCAAAATTCATTGGTCAAACTGGTCTGGTCAAATTGGTCAAATGGTCTGGTCAAGCTTGACCATTGACCGGTCTGTGCCAACTCTGACTATAAACTATACTTTGAATATGATGGCATAGTATAAACTATACTTTGAGTATAAACTATACTTTGAGTATAAACTATACTTTACGTATAAACTATACTTTACGGCATATACAGTATACTATAAACTATACTTTGTGTGTAAATTCAATTGCGAAAATATACATACTGTATAATCTTTATAATAATATTTGTGTTCTGATTGGAATTATTTCTTGTTTGTAGGGCTGGATCCGTTACCCATTGAGTACTGGATTTAATAGTAAAGTCCATCGGATATATCCGTTAAAATCAATATGAAAAAACGGATCCAAGCTCTGATTGAATATTATAACCTTCCGAATACACTATTAAATTGTAGAAGTTTAAAGTATATCGGATATATATGCTACAATAAACTTCTACAAATTTAATAGTGTATTCAGAAGTTTATAATAGTCAGAGCTTGGATCTGTTATCCGGTTTCATATTGAATTTAACAAATATAAATACAGTTAAAAAATTTTAAGAAACTCATTCTTTATCCTTTATGGATAAATGAATTTTGTTCGCAAAAAATTTGATATGCATGTAAGTTTTTTGATATTGTGTTATTATTTTATGGTTTTTATGTTCACTAAGCATATATTTTTTGTAAAACGAATCTTCTCATGTCTTACAATTTTGGTAAGCATTTTTTTTTTTTTTTTTTTTTTTTTTTTTTTTTTACAATCGCCTATAAAAATTATGGTTTTTTCGCGATAATAAAAAAAAAAAAAAAAATGGAATATTTTGAAAACACTGACCCTTCATCATGGCGCTTTTTTAATTATTATATCTATCGAATAAAAAATAAGCTCGATGAATTTAAAGCTTCGTTTGAAATCGAATCATCATTATTAAAGGAGAACCTTACGAAACTTGCAAATGATGAACGAGTAGAATTCAAAAATAAATCAAATAGGATGCTGTCCTTGTTCAATGTAAGTATTTATTTATAAAGAAATAACTTTTTTTATTGTTTCTGACATTTTTTAATTTTTTTTTTTTAAAAGTATCACCGAGACGAATATGAAGACGTAAAATCGTTTTGGTTAATTGTTGAAGCATTGCAGACTAAAAAAATAATCTGGAAAGGCAATATTTCATTTACTATCGGCACCAAGACAACATATAGACCCACTGAAGTCACTCTTATTCATGGAAAACAAGAATGGCGTCATAATTCTGAAATGGTAATTGTGGAAGAATACGTTAAAGATATAACACATTTACGATTTAACAATGAAGTATTAATTTTAAGGTTCAAATTCGAAAAGGCAGGGGTAGTGGAAGTTTTAGATGAACTTTTTTTTCAGGATGAAGAGGGTAGTAGGGGATACGGACGTATTGAACCTAATTACTCTCCTGGGGAAATGTTCATTTTTAAACCCCATAACGGGTTACCAAATTTTATAACTTCTTTAAATATTTCATTTGAAGAAAATAGTTTGTATGCTTTAAAATTCTGTACATAAATTGTAGAATTTTTATTTGAAATGATCATTTTTTTTTACATATTAAAATGATTTGATAAATGTTTTTTCGCGAAATTTTTTTTTTTTCAATCTTTTTTTTTTTAAAAGCTTTGAAATATATGTTATTTTTTTTTTTCGAAGTTCTTTTTTTTTACTTTGAAATATATATGTTTTAAAGATTTTTTTTTCGAATTTCTTTTTTTTCGAAATATCATTTCGAAATTTTTATTTTTATTTTTTTTTGCATTAAGCTTAATTCCTACGTCGCATGAAATTAAATAAAAAATAAATTTATTTGCTTCACTTAAAAAATGGAAAATAATGCAATGTTCGTTTATTTTTTTATTATCGTAGTTATTCTAATAAAACAATTGAATTTTTTATATGCGTATATTTATTATTAAACAATATATTCTCCATTTTGATAATCCACAGTGGCTTTTAGACTTAATTTTTTTTATCGTCTATATTTACAGCTGTTTTCATAAATTCTGGGACACCTAAAAATTTTATCGTTACCCGGAATCTTTCAGGTTTCGTCCGGCAAATTACCTAGTTCTCCGAAACTACATCACTATTTTTGAATCTTCAATCCGGAGACAGGATGTAATTTCTGAAGAGTTAGGTAATTTACTGGACGAAATAGAAAAGATTCCAGGAAACGCGAAAATTTTTAGGTGTCCCAGAATTTATGAAAACAACTGTAATTCATTATTAATTAATTCCAGTGTTTTTTCTCGGATAAGAGACCAATTTATTCTTTATTTACTGCTGATTTTACTGTTTGGTTATCAGTAATATCTTTATTAGGAAGTAAATAGTAAATAGTTCGCTAATTTCCAATTGCTGATGAGCAGTGTGGCAATTTTACTGGCCAAAAAAATGGCTAATTCGGCCAAATTCATATGTTTTTTGGCCGATAAGGCTATTCCAATTTAATTCTTTGTTTACTGCTATTTTCATAATTCCTGAAACACCTGATAAAAATTGGCCGAATGAATTTTTCAGCCGGTTTTGATTTCGGCATGATCTGTATAATAAAAGCTATTTTGTACACATCATAATGGTTGTTTTACTGATCATTATAACGATAATGTCAACATTATTAAAGTTTCGTTCGAATGCTTGTCTAACATGTTTAGTATATCTTATTTTGCACACAAAACTGCGCTTATCAACCGATAAACCTTAGCAAGAAATATCAGATATAAACTTGAACTTTTATAGTACTAATATTAAAAAAAAACAAATATGACTATGAATTTTGTCGACTTATTTAAAAATGAATTTAGGGTTAAGATTCCAAACGATCAAAATTTTATTATATTTGTTGAGAATACATGAAGAAATATAAGAAGAATTATAATAAATGAAATCAATATTAAAAATTTATATACAGTATAGCCTTCAAAGTTCCATTTCGAATTGTAATTCATACAAATGCCAGTCAGGTTTTTCCCTCAATACTAGTTTTAATATATTTACATCATTCATATTTAGTGAACATGGTTTTCCTAAAAACGACAGTACCAATGCCTTATTATACAATAATATAATAACGCCGAACAACAATGAAAAAGATATCGAGCAATAAAATATACAGTAGATACAGTTCTCGACGTCCCTTCACAATGTGTCCAGGTTGATAAATAGAAAAGGCAAATAAACAATAAAAATGAATTTAAAGCTAGGAGGGACAGATTAATCTCTTGAAGATGCCGAAATATTCTTCTTCACATAAGAGTTGGTATTGCAGCCTGGCGCCAGTGTCACAAAACTGGTGGACGCGCTGGTCTTTCAAGTATGATTTACTTAATTTGCTATGTTACTTGTTATTAATATTATGTATTGATTATATAGGCTTAAAAAATATATATATATATATAAAATTGATATGTTCAACGGTTATGCTTTTTTAAAATTAACGCTTTTAAAATTACATGTATTTTATCAAGTCCAAGCGAAAGACCTTAAAATTCGTTCGAGCATGAAGCTTCAAACTTAAACAGCAAGTAAACGGTCAAATGTATTAAAGTAAGTAATTTTTTACTTACAGGAAAACAAAAATTCATTTACTTGCAACATAATGTTTTGTGGTTAGGTTGTATGTTGCATAGGTCTTTCTATGAACCTTTATGTCGCGTAAGGTCTGTTGAGAAGGATTTACATGTGTATAAGTGCTATCAAGGAAATATCTATCATTGGTTTTTACCCTTGGTGGCACTCATGTACATGTAAGTGCCCTCTTGGGAGCCCTTATATCTGTAAGTCTACTGAATCTGAATAAGGAATCAGTTATGGTTTTCTTTACGATGGTAAAAGATTTTTTGTAACATGGTATTATGTAACGGAGATGTCTTATATTAATTATGTAGGATTAAAATTGTTATGTCACACTTTTTAAATTAACGCTTTTTAATTCAAGTGCCAAGAGAAGGTCTTTAAGATTCGTTCGACCATGAAACTTCAAATTGAAGTGCACTTAAGAAAACTTATAAGAAACGGCAAGGGTTTACCCCAAAATCCGAAAGACAGATTCCCGAAAGGATCTAATACCGACAAAGTTAGCCGGCATTAGTTATAATGCTGGCCAATTTAGTCGGTATTATGTTCTTTCGGGATTTTGTAATAGAACCTTTTTGACAGAATTCAAGCTCTTCATATTCAGTCAGTTTAAATGGCATAAATTTATTCATTCCATAGGAATCATCGAACATTGTATGTGTTTAACTTTGTATTCTTAAAAGTTTAATTCATAATTAGTTTGAGGAATAAAGGTTATTTACAATCTCAACTAAAACTTGTCAACATTTGGATAGAATAATTTGCAAAATATGACAATTAATAAACAATATAACTGTTTTAATTACGTAATTATTAATATTCTGCGATAATTTCATAAAAAAGTATAAAATTTGTATATGCGCTTTTTGTAAATGTCCTTTGATCAAATATTACAAATTTAAAAGAAGGTTTTACCATAAAATCCCGAAAGCCATTTTCCCGAAAGGACATAATACCGACTAAATTGGCCAACATTATAACTAATGCCGGCTAACTTTGTCGGGATTAAGTCCTTTCGGGAATATGTCTTTCGGGATTTTGTGGTAAAA